TGTGTGTGTGTGTGTGTGTGTGTGTGTGTGTTTTAAGAGATTTTTGCTATAGGGTGTGTGCTATCACCAGAGAGACAGGCAGAGACAACAGAAAGCGAGAAATCACCCCCTGGGGGATGGTCATGCTACAATCCCTTGTCTGTTCTCCTTGGGATTTTGGGCATGTACAAACGCATGCCCAGTGTGAGTTTTAAGCTGCTGGGTCAAGGACTCAAAAGACTACATAGGAGTGTACATATAATGTAACCATTACGCATAACCACTATATGTGTGTGTATATATATAGTTACCATGTTATTTGTGAATAGGCATATTCTGGAAGTTATGCACAAGTAGTGACAATCTACAGTGTATCCTTCCTTTTTCCCCTGTGGTGGTTGAACTAGTGAAGGAAAGAAGCTTTTGATATTCATTTACTTGTACAATTATAGGTTATTTATGAGACTATGTCTGGTCATGGAGAACTAAATAATGTATCTGTGCAGTTTATTAGAAACATCAAATGAATATTTATCTCACTATTACACTTCTTAGTTAAGGTACCAGTTTGTGGGTATCTTCAGAGTTCATCCTCTGCTATCTGTTCTCAGCGCCATTGTTTTGCTATAGGAAAGCATCATTTTTTTTTCTGAATAGATTGTGTTTCTCCCTTATGTGATCCTTCCCACAGTATAGCATCAGTTTTTTCTTTTGCTTAAAATTCTTAGTTTCCAGGGACCAGTAGATAGCATAATGGTTACATCATTGGACTTCCACATAGCCAACCATGGTTCGAGACCTGAACCTGCAGGCTTAAATCTCAAGCTGGGTGTGTGTGCGTGCATGTGTGTGATTAAAATCCTTAGAGAATGGAGAAGGGGTTGCAGTGTAGCCATCTTTCCTGGGGGGTGATTTATTGCTTTCTGTCTCTCTGTCTCTTTGATGAGTGCACATGCTCTATAGCAAAAACCTCTCTTAGAAAAAATCTTTGCTTCCAGAAAACCCTCATTCTGATATAGAGGTGCTTCATGATATAACTTCTAGCCTCTTTCCCAGTCATGAACTTTGCCAATTGATGATACTCCACCATCTCTGGGCTTTTTTTTGTGTTTTTTGTTTGTTTGTGCCATAGGGTGCATGCACTCACCACAGAGACAGACAATGAGAGGGAAAGTGGGAAATCACCATCCAGAGGGGATGGACACACTCTAGTCCCTTCTCTTCTGTTTTCCTTCTGAGAATTTGGGCTCACATGCACGTGTGTCTGGCATGAGTTTCAAGTCTTGCTTGGTCCAGGACTTGAACCACAGTCAACCAGGTATGAGTCCATCACCTTAACCACCGCACCACCTACTGGCCCCTCTCCTGACTTTTTATTGGTGTTAAGTTAGGCATCCAGTGTAATTGCTATTTTATTTATTTACTTATTTAATTGCTAGAGGATGTGCATGCTCACCAGAGAGGAGGAGGAAGCACCTCTTAGTTGGGTGTGGTTGCACTACTCTCCTTTTCTCCATTTCTCCATCCCAGTAGGATTTAGGATTTAGGATTTAGGACATGCATGGACATGCACCCAGCATGGTTTTCTTTTTTTTCTTTTCTTTTTCTCTTTGTTTTTTTTTTTTTGCTTCTTTTTTTTTTTTTTTTTATTTGGGAGAGGTTTTTGCTACAGGGTGCGTGTGCTTGCCAGAAAGACAGAGATGGAGAGACAGAAAGGGAGAACTCACCCCCCAGGGGGGATGGTCACACCGCAATCCCTTCTCCTTCATTCTCCTCTCGGGATCTTGGGCATGCATGCACACGCTGCCTGGCGTGAGTTTAAGCCACCGGGTCCGGGACTCGAATCGCGGTCGACTACGTGGGAGTCCAGCGACATAGCCATTACACTAACTGCTGGTCCCAAAGTCTTTTTCTTAGGACTCATGGGGTTACTGGAGGGAGCCAGAGAGATAAAGTGCAAAATCACCTCCCAGGGGGCATGGCCATACTGCAATCCCTTCTCTTCGTCCCTCTCATGATTTTGAGCCCACATGCACCTGTGCCTGGTATGATTTTTCAAGCCACCACGTCTGGGACTCACCACAGTCAGCCATATTGAAGTCTAGCACTTTAAACACTATGCCACCTGCTAGCCCAGCCGCTAGGCAATTTTTACCAACTTAAGTCATTGTTTTGTTCCTTCCCTTAGGTGGAATTGACATGAAACAGTTGATAGCAAAGAAGATACAGTTGACAGCAGAGGCTGAGGTAAGCAACTCCCTCTTTAAGAAACAAAAATACAAAGTTTTGGATAAAGTTTTTGTTCAGTGTCATTTTTAATCCTACATTGCATAAAATGTATTGCAATCCTGTCTGATCAATTGGCATTATCCTGTTGTGGAACAGGAAAATAAGATCTGCTACTGTGTATCCTATATAAAAAACACGGATTCTCTTTTCTCTCTTATCCCATCCATCGCCATCATTTTCTGACTCTTAACAGAAAAATTTTGGTTTATGTGAACTACGTTTAATGACTGATATAGTGTGAAAGTATCTATTAGTGTTAATAGTAGACCACCAATAAATATTGAATCTGAATCTAGAAGTAGATTCTCTGTCACGGAAGTAGAAATAACCAGTTCAAAAAACCACAATATAGAGCTGTTCCAAATGAGGACCCAACAGTTCTATAAGTCAGAATTCAGCAGTCTCAGAAAATTCTGGAAATCAAAAAAATACCTTTTTTAGTTTATTTTTTTTTGCTATAGGGTACATGCACTTACCAGAGAGAGTGAGAGCGAGAGATTGAGAAATCACCTCCTTAGAGGTGACGGCCATGCCAAACAAAAAACTCACATTAGGCACATGTGTGTGTGTGTGTGCCCAAGATCCTGAGAGGAAACTGGAGGAGAAGGGATTGCCATGTGACCATAACCCCTGGAGTGTGATTTCTTGCTTTCTGTCTTTCTATCTCTCTGGCAAGCACATGCTCTTAAAACAAAACTAAACTCACACTAGGCTCATGTGTGCATACTCAAGATCCCGAGAGGAGAATGGAGAAGGGATTGTGGCATGGCCATTCCCCCGGGGGAGGTGATTTCTTGCTTTCTGTCTCTCTCACTCTCTGGCAAGCATATGTGCCTTATAGCTAAAATCTCTCTTAAAAGAAAAAAAAAAAGCTTGTTTTATTTATTAATTTAGATATATGTATATGCATGTGCATATATTTTTATATAGAATAACTTTAGAATACATTTCAATAATCATATTTTATAAGGTAGTATGTTAGCTTATTTATTAATTTTTTTTTAAAGGTTTTTTGCTATAGGGCACATACGCTCACCAGAAAGACAGAGAGAGACAGAGAGAGAAAGCGAGAAATCACCCCCCAGGGGGCATGGCCATGTCATAAAACCTTCTTCTCCATTCTCTCGGGATCTTGGGCGCGCGCACACACACACACACACACACACACACACAAGCCCAGTGTGAGTTTAAGCCACTGGGTCCGGAACTTGAACCGTGATCAACTACACGGGAGCCCAGCGATGTAGCCATTATGCCATCTGCTGGCCCCGCTTACTTATTTTTTTAGAGAGCCATTTTTACTTTAGGGCACATGTGCTTGCCAGAGAGACAGAAAGCAAGAAATCACCCTCCTCAGTGAGGATGGCCACAACTGCAATCCCTTCTCCTCCATACTCCTCTTGGGACTTTGGGCACGCACACACACTCGCCCGGCGTGAGTTTAAGCCTCTGGGACCGGGACTCTAACCATGGTCAACTACGTGGGATTCCAATGATGTAACCATTACACTATCTGCTGGCCCCATGTTAACTTATTTAATTCATTTTGATATCAGTGTCTTTGTTATTATCAGGGCAAAATTTTCAGTTATCTTTCAAGGTCTGGGGATTCTCAGTTTTCACTTTCATGTGATTTGCTGGAAATACTGCACTTTCTGAGCCCAGGGATGATGCTTTCATTGCAGTTTCATTATAAAAATGTATATGCTTAACATTTAGAGATCTCCTCACACTCCATCATCCTGTAGGTGTTTTCATGAGGTCTGTAATATAACCACTTACAGTACTGTTTATAAAGTGGTATGTATGCAAATGTGTGTTTAGTATATATGAAACCATCAGGCTAGACTTCTAATTCGTAGTATGTTGAATTTTATGTATTTTTCCTGATTCCATTGGGTTACCTCTGTAGGCAACCAAAACTCTAATGATGAAGGTCATTTCTGAGAATGTCTCTAGTTAGTTACTGTAATACTCTATTCTAGAGACCATTAAAGACTTGGTTATTAAGCAACTTTACTTATCTGAGAGATAATTATCATTTTTGGCTAAGGAAAAAACCTCATATATAGGTACATGTGCTGTTGTTAAGGGCCATTTGTTTGCAGATTTAGTGATTAAAATAAAAACTTTGGCTTCTGTGGTTTATGGTAGTGATTCGGACCCATTTTCTTTTTCTAGACAGTCAAGACACTTGGATTTGTCTTTATTTCTTTTCCAGTTCTGCATCTGTCCTCTTGCACCTTTTCCTTTTCTATAATAGCAAGAACACAGCTCAATCGTACTTTATTTGTGAGGGAAAGTTCCAAGTAGGTTTCTTGGTCAGTCTGTCTCTGCTGTCATTGCTGGTGTTTTAAAGGTCTAAAGTTAGAGGAGAACTTTTTCCAGAAGGAATCACAAACCCCACAGGGTAAGGGAGCATGGAGTGGGAAGTAGAGGTTGGGGGAGAAGGAAGATGCAGAGGGGAAGGACATGGAGAAATGTTTAAAGATCTAAGTTAAAACTTTAAAAAGAATATTTTTTACTTATCTCCTTTATGTATTAATTAGTGACTATAATTTTTTAAAAGACATTTTTGCTATAGGGCATGTGTACTTGCCTGAGAGCCAGAGAGACAGAAAGCAAGAATTACCTCCGCCCTCCCACCCCGGGAGGATGACCATGCTGCAATTCCTTTTCCATTCTCCTCTTGGTATTTTGGGCATGTACATGCACATGTTTGGCTTTAGTTTCAAGCTGCCTGATCTGGGACTCCAACTACAGTTGGCCACGTGGAGTCCAGCGCCTTAACCACTACGCCACTTGCTGGCCCCAGTCACTACAATTTTAAGTTCTCAATTTGGTCAGTTTAGGATTAGGAGAAAGAAGTGAATGAAGCAAGGGAAAAGAAGCTGAGGGAAAGGAGGATATGCATTTAGACAATATTGTATCATAATGTGAAATATTTGCACAACGTATCATATTGTGCAAATGACACCAGGACTGCAGGGTTGTAGGAGACTTGTTCTCTGCTGTTACAAGAAGGAGGAGAAAACTTACACTGTCCGGAAATGGTGCTTGATGGGGATCTGTGCCCTCATTGGGACACAGTGGAAAATTGGAACCAGATCACCAATCAGTTTTTGTGTATTTTTTTCATGTACCTATTTCTATCTGAAATTTCCTTTAATTTTCTATGCTCATTAGTCAAAATACTGTATGTCCTTTCAAATTCTAGCTACATTC